TTGAGCTCTGTAATACTGCATTCTTTGATGGAGCAGTGAGGGGAAGAATTTGAGACTGAGTGGCCCCGAGTGTTTTGAGTTAATGAGTGTTTTGGTTAATCTGTAGAATGTTAACAAACACTAAATGCCAGGGCAGCAGACAGCAGAGAAATATCCAGAGCCTGCAGACGCAAAACATTTATCTGTCCCTCTCCCTCCTTGCCTCAGAGAAACCAAGAATGCTCAAAAGAAAGAATTCATACAAGAAAACATCGAGGTCTATCCGATCGAACATCAAATTGATGAATGACCATCATCCTACAGGCAACACTGTCTCATCAATGGTAAAAATTAAACTAAGCTGTGAGAGACAACTTAATCCACTCTTCAAATCTGGATTTATGATCACCAGAATTTTGTTTATTCTGTTGATTTTTTTTTCCACCTGTAAAATCTATGTCAAGCTATGTGTCTTTTAACTGTCTAATTGAGAATGAATGTGTGTTAAGGATTTTTGACAGTTGCAAAGCAGTAGATTAGAAATCCTTTCTTATCTCTGCTTTTTGATTTTTTGTCTTTCTCTTTGATTTAAGTAGTTATTTTTGTCTTTCTCTTTGCTTTAAGTGTTTTACATAAATAGTTATTTTCTGTTAGAGACGAAATCTGGTGTAGATTGTTTTTGACCTGAATAGCAGTCATGATGGCAAATTGGTCATTTTGGTGGTCTCAATGGAATTTTATACATTTTGTAATGATTTGTGGAACAGTGGGCATGATTTTTGGAGCATTTTTCCCGGTTAAGTCATAAGAATTAGATATCGCTTCACTAACCTCTCACAGAAATGTTCCTACTTTTCAGTGAGGTCAGAGAAAACAACTTTAGAAAATTATGCGAAATGGTAAAATGAGTTTTAGAACAAATTTCAAAGCCTGTGATTGTAAGAAGTAATGGACATGTTTTGATCAGTTCCTGCCTATAGGGGTGAGCATTCACATGTGCACTACAGACAGAAACTGGTGCAGTTCTTGGACCAGACTTACTATACTGCTGTATTTAGCTTAAAGCAGGGAGGAGGATTAGCAACAAAATGATGGCTGCTGTCCCTGTTATAGGATCTCTCCTTCATGTGAAGCAACATGAACAGAAAGTTTGTTGTTGTTTTCTCCTGTAAAATGATTTTACAGTGGATTACAGTCACCTTTCTGTGGTAGTCTTATTAGTTGTACATGCTACACATGATGTACACACACACACACACTCAATTTGACTCAGTCATTAAGATCTTGGAATAGGAACAGGAGAGTAGTGTTTCGGCAGCTTTCTTCATGACTGAGCAGCCTGCTTGAGGATCCATTCTACTCAACCCCCACGGGGAAGGGGGTAGAAGAGGTGCCCTAAAAATAGTCTGTTTTGCTACCAACCTGGCTGGAAAACCACATCCCCGCCTCTTCGACCTGTTTGTTTCCTCTCCACCTAGCCTCTCCTCTATCCCTCTTCTATCCGCCTCCCACTCTCTCCCTATTTATTTCAGAACCCCCTTCCCCTCCCCCTTTTCTGATGAAGGGTCTAGGCCCGAAACGTCAGCCTTTCTGCTCCTATGATGTTGCTTGGCCTGCTGTGTTCATCCAGCCCTGCACCTTGTTGTCTCGGATTCTCCAGCATCTGCAGTTCCTACTATCTCTACTTCAACATTGATATTGCTGCCATGTAGGAGACTCAAAGAGCTGGCAAAGGGCAGCTGAGGGAAGAAGGTGGTCGTTATACTTTCTTCCGGATGGGAAAACCCAAGGATAAACCCAGGATGTACGGAATTAGATTCGTTATCAAGAACAAATCTGTCAACCAACTCTCAGAGCTCCATACTGGCACCAACAATCACCTCTTGACTATCCATCTGCAACTTACCAAAAACCAGCAGGCAATGATTGTGATTGACTGAGCTTTAACCCTTGATACATAGATGAGTCCAAAAGAGCCTTCTACCCCACCCTGGACATGATACTGACCAACATCCCTCAGGAAAATAAAATGATTCTCCTTGGAGACTTCAAGGGTTGGAAAGAAAAGAATCAGGAATTACAACTGTAATGGATTCTCCTGCTCACCAAATGTGCAGAACTTCAGCTTGTCACAAAGATCATGCTGTTCCACCAAAAATACAAACACAAAACTTCTTGGAGGCATCCACGATCAAAGTGTTTCAAAGACTCCCTGAAGGCTTCCCTCAAGAAATGCAATATTGATGTCAAGGTTTGGGAGACTGTCATTCAGAAGAAACTGACTTGGAAGAAGGTCCTGCATGAAGGGACACAATTCTTTGAGAACTTCTGTCAGCGTGAGAAGTACAGAAAAGGAACCGGAGAAAGGAATGCTAGTGATCTTGAGGCCAAAAACCAATTCCACCTATGGGAAGTCCCTGCCAAATGTGTGGTTGGAGAGGTAGCTCTAGGATTGGGCTCATTAGTCGCACAAAGACCCACAGAGCCTTTGACCAATGACACAGAGTTTCCTCGGTGGATAATCATTTTAGTAAGCCAGTGATTACTGATAATGTGTTTGCTTTACAGATTTATGGTATATGTTCTTTCCTTCAATACTCACACAGGGCTTGAACGGTAGGCAGAAGGTTTATAAAACACAGACAGGGCAGTGTAGTGAGACAGCACAATGTCTCTTTGAAATGAAAAACTTGGGTTAAAATCTACCTTCACTTATAGGATGAAAGTCTCTTTCTTGTAGATATATGTTGGTAGTTTCAAGTCAGTGCCCAGCAGTCACCCGTAAGCATAAAATCAGGCTCTGAACCGATGCCTTCTTAAATGGGCATTAGCAAATTCTGAGGTCACTATTTTGCAGCAGAGCAGGGCATTCTCACTCATGCCCTGGTCAATAAGCACCATTAAAACAAGAAAATTGGTCTTCATCATGTTTGTAGGACCAGCATAAATTACGACAGTGAGAACACCTCAAAATAACTTAACTGGATAGACAGTAATCTGGGAGGTCCTGATACAATGGAATGAGTTCTTGGTTGAGTTTGGGGGTCAGATACATGGTTGTGACAAAGTCGAGAAGGCTTTTCTGGGAGGCCTATGATTTATTTTGACAATACCAAACAGCAGACATAAAACAGTTTAAATCTGTTTAGATCCTGCCTGATTTTGCTCTTCCAGTGATGTCAATGCTGCTTTTACGAGATGACTGTGGCCCTGTGTTTGTCAGCCTTCATCCTGATTGATCACCATAAACATTCATGAATGGGGACAACTGGCTCTGTGCAACATGAGCATAAAAACACCTTGTTCATTCACAAAGTCCCAGATGATGGTGATGCCTCATAATCACGTGTAGCAAACCTGGATAACAATTCAGTCCTTGGGCTGATAAGTGACAAGTAACATTCACAGTGCACACTAAAGACAGACTTATGAGACTTAGATTTATACAGTGCCTTGCATGACTGCAGAGTACTCCAAAGCAGCTAACAGCCAAGAGAATCTTTTTTGAGATGTAGCTATTGTTGTAATGTAGGAAGTGTTTGCTTCATGACCATCTTCAGTAAGCGAGAACTTAAACATTTCCCTTTGATATTCAATGTCCTTACCATTGCTGAAACTTCATCATTAACATCCTGGGGGTTACCACTGACCAGAATTTGAACTGGACTTACCATACAAATACTGTGGCTGCAGGAGAAGGTCAGGGGTTTGGAATACTGCAGCGAGTGGCTCACTTCCTGATTCCCCAAAGTCTGTCCATCTTCTGCTAGGCACAAGTCAGGAGTGCAAAGGAATACTCCTCATTTGTCTGGAAGACTGCAACTCCAACAACACTCACGTAGCTTGAAATCTTCCAGAACAAAGTAGCCTGCTTGATTGGCATTACATCTACAAACATCCACTCCCTCCACCATTGACCCTCAGTAGCAGAAAAATGTATCATCTTCAAGATGCATTCCAGCGCCTCCTACAGGCTTCTTAGACTGCACCTTCCAAACCCACATCCTCTACCTCCTAGAATAAGAAAGGCAACAGATGCATGAAAACACCACCACCTGAAAGTTCCTCTTCATTCCACACCCAATCCTGACTTGGAAATATATCACTGTTCCTTCAGTGTCACTGGGTCAATATCCTGGAACTCCCTTCTGAAAGTTACTTTAGTGTCCCTATGTTCCAAGGAGTGCAGTGGTCCAAGAAAAGGGCTTACCAGCACCTTCTCAAGGGCAATCAGGATGGGCAATAAATGCCAGTCCGACTAACAAAGCTTGCATCCCAGGAACATAGATTTAAAAGAATCTTTTTCCCACTAAATTGAACAGGCTAACAGCTGCTCTAGCAAATAAATTGAGGCTCAGGTGCATTCTTTTATGAAAATTGGTAAAAAAGTTTTACAATGTGTATTGTTGTTACCTGGAACACAATGCATGAAAGGGTAGTGGAAGCAGATTCAATCCTAACCTTCCAAAGGGAATTGTAAATATCCTTGAAGAGGCAATTTACAGGTCTATAGGAAAGAACAGGACACTTGGACAAATTGTACAGTTATTTCAAAGAACTGGCACAGGTATAATGGACCAAACTAAATGAGATTTAACATGGCACAATGTGATCTCAGCCTCTTATGGATGAGTTCAGGTAAACATCTGATATCACATTGAAATGCATAAAACATGACAATATGTTGGAAATGTAATGAAACTTCAGAAAAATATAAGGTTTGTAATCACATTTATTAGGGAATAAGGAATTAACCTTAGAACAGGTGACTGTTTGATCAGAGATGGTTTTTATGGAGTTTTAAAGGAGGCAAGAGAGCGGTATTGAGACAAAAAGAATTAAGAGGGAATTCAGAATTTATAACTTGGACAATCAAAGTCAGGGTACCTGGTGGTGTAGTGAAGGGATTACAGCCCAAACTAACTTGTTACTTGACGCCAGTCCAGCAAAGTATGGAGTATTGCTGCAGAATCATGTACCAATTAATACTATGAGAAGAACTGTCTAAGGATAACACTCACTCATTGAAGGGGAATCTCTTTCACTGTGTCCGGATGCTGACTGGTCCAAAGTGGGTTTCCTACTTCTGTCGACAACAGGAGCTGAAAGGAAATGGATAACCTGATTTTCCAACTGTTGAAACCCAAAGGTGCACTTAACGTAGATACTCAGAAGATGCCACTCTTTGGAAAATCCTCAAAGAATAAAGCCAAATATTTCTGCTCATATTTCTCTTCAGATGGGCTTCACAGTCTCACCTGGGAGCAGAATGTACAGAAGACAAAGTTGATCAAAGGACAAGATAATATAAAAAGGTTGATCTCAGAATTTGGAAAAATATAGACAGACACCATTTTCTCCAGACCAGAACACAGCAGTGTCTCCTTCAAATTTGAGCCAGGTGTTCACAGATGATGTTAGGAAACACATCCTCACAAAGGGGGCAGTGGAATTTTGAGACCCTCCATCTGTTAAAAGCTCATTTCCCTAACGTCTAATGGAATTGTTGGAGGTGTTTCAAAGTTGCCTGCCTGAAACCATCTGGAGGCAAGAATGGACCAATTTAGGAGCGAAGCACGGAGCCAGAAATGCCTGTGAGAGTGAGGGTAAATGTTGATCACAGGTGGAAGGATTTGCCCTTTGAGATGAAAATGACAGAAGCCTGTTACAGGTCTCAGGGAGGAGTTTGAATTAAGAGTCTTGCCAGGTTAGGGGGTTGTTACCATCCTGGCATGGCATCGGAATCAGAGCAGTGGACATCGAGTCCAGACTCTACTCGAACACACTGGAGGATGTAGCTGGATCAAAAACAGAAATTGCTGGAAAATCTCAGCAGGCCTGGAGAGAAAGCAGAGTTAAAATTTTGGGTCCAGTGACCCTTCTGGATCTGGTCCTTGAACTAGCTGCATCCTGCAATGTTTTCATTCATTGTGCTCTCCTGAATAAGGCCCTCCAGAGAGGAGTGAACATAAAGCTAGTGAGGATCTGCAAGGGAATAATTCAGCGGCAGAGGATTAGCGATGGGAGAAGGGGTGAGTTATGGGGGATGGCACGGAACAGAGTGCCCCTACTAATCCTAACTCTATTGCAAGATGAAGTCGCACCCTCCTTGACCTTCTGTGCCACCTTTGTCTCCCTTATGGGGTCCAGCCTTCCAGCTCCCCTGTGGCATTTATGGTTTGTTTGGCAGACATAAGAAAATTTCTCTCTTTCTCTTTCAGGACAACCACAGCAGCATCAGTGATAGATTTTGTGTCTGAATGAGTCCACCACTTCTTCTGAACTAGCTCAATTCCCATTCCCACCAGTTCCAACTGGACTGGAAACAGTCTCCATATCAATTAAGGACTCACTTTCCACAAAACTCCAAACTCTAGTCAGAGTCCACCAGAGACAGGTTTTTGATACAGAAACAAGCCTGAGTCCCGCGACGCTGGGCCAAAAAAATCAGGCTTAAATGATGTACAATAAATGAGCTGCCTTTAGGTTTCTGAGTAACAATTGGAGGAGTTTTAAAGGGTGGTGCTTTGGACAAAATACAGTGACCGGGACATAAATCACACTCAGAATTCACAAAATCCTGGAGAAAAGTCTTTCCTAACTCAGACACATAAACAAAATATCAACCTACTCAATTAGACAGATTTTTAGAACACAATCTAAAACATTTACTTATCAAACCTTATTCTTAAAGGAAGTAACAGCATGGTTAAATTAATGTAGCTGACACAGGTTTATTACAAAAATAAGCATTTTGCTTAGAACCTATTACTAACTTGATTTTAACCAATTACAATGATTTAAAAAGGATGTTATTGAGCTTTTTCCCAATTCCATCAGGGTGCTTTAGCCAGTCCTTTAACAATTAAAACAAATTCAGTTTGAAATTGTGCAGTATCCTGCAAGTCACTGTCATTGCAGTCCTGCAAGAGGAGGTCATCGATTTTTTCAATGTTTTCTAATCAACCTCTTCAGTGATATTATGACACAGTTTGGATTTAACCCAGGTCTCCCCGTCCAGAGGTAGGGACACTACCATTGCACTACAGGAGTCCTTGTTAGGCCATTGATGATGACTAAAGGACACTGATTGCACACTTGAGATCGTGGCTGAAGCTGACGTGGATAGAGCAGATGTGTGGGACAGCTAGCAGTGACTCAATAGGCTGAATGGCTGAAGTTTCATTACCAGGGAATACTGACTCACTGGTCAGGTGCCCTCAAAGAACACTCAGGTAGGTTGAGGAAAGATAGCGACAATTAGCCAGCAATTGGAGAGCAAAATAGCTCAAATAGCCTCCTTGACAGCATCTTCACCATCATGTTACCCATTGTCTCTCTCTCTCTCTCACACACACACACACACACACACACACACACACACACACACACCCGCCACCAACCCAACCCCCACCTAAGGCAAAACATACTGAGTTTTATCACCTCGAAAGCTCACAAAAAAGCATCATTAGTGAAAATTGATTTTGACAATAAATTCCACCCTTTTCTGGTTATTACCAGCTTTCAGTGTGATGTTTTACAAACTGGCGAAGAAGACCATGGAACCTTGAATTGCACTGTAAAATTTTAAAATTTGCCCATTTTCTTAGCTGGTATCAGACAAACTATACCAAAACAAACCACTGTAGCTGAGCAGAAAGTCCTTAAAATCCATAAAACACTTTTGTTACTTCTTGGATCAATTAAAACAAACTGAATGCATGAAGTTTGATAACTATCCAAAGTATGAGTACCTCTATAACTAGGTGATGAGAAGCCTCGATCTTTGCTTTGACCTGAATCCTCATTGACAGTGAGAGTGGAGAACATGTTTGTCTGGAAAAGAGCAAATATATTAGTAGAACACTCGTAAAAACAGATTGAGTACTTGTTCCTCATCTATCTGCACAGAATTTAACATGGATGGAATCAAATCATTATGGCATACATAGAAACATTCAGCCCATCAACTCCATGCATGTAAGATTTTTTTGAGCTTATCCAGAAGAATGAAATATTTTCCATTTCCTGTCCCTAACATTGCAATGATAGAGGTAAATTTTCAGTGTGTATCACTTGATGTTAATAGGGCTCTGATTGTATTATGGGAAAATGTGAAATTGTCCATTTTGGCAGGAGGAATTAAAAAGAAACAAATTATCTAAAAGGTTAGAGGTCGTACAACTCTAAGATGCAGAGAGATCTGGGTAACTCAGTGCATGTATCACACAAGGTTAATATGCAGATAAAACAAGTAATTCGGTAAGCTAATAAACTGTTATCTTTTATTGCGTGGGAAATTGAATGCAAAAGTAGGGAGGTCATGCTTTATTATATAGGGCACTGGTGAGACCACATCTAGAGTATTGTGTACAGTACTGGTCACCTTAATAAAGGAAGGATATAAATTGTTGGAAATGGTTCAAAGAAGCATCACCCATTTCAACTCCCCACCCCACTCCCCTCTGACATGTCCGTCCTCTGCCTCCTCCAGTGTCGCAGCGACTCGCAACGCAAATTTGAAGAACAACATTTTATCTTCGGCCTGGGCACGCTAGAGCCCAGAGGACTCAACATTGAGTTCTCCAATTTCAAATAACCTTCCCACCCATCCCCTGGCTCTCCTTCCAGCCCCACCTCCACCCTTCCATTCCACCTTCTGACCCTCCCTTCCAGCCACCAACCGGATTCATCTCTATCGACCAGGTTGTACCTACTACCAATGTCCACCTATCACCACCATTCCGCCTCCAGCCCTCTCTTTATCTGCAGCTGCCCCTGCCCCCACATCCAGTCCTGAAGAAGGAAGTTTTTGGAACACTATTCCTTAAAAGGTGGTGTAAGCAGAGTCCTGATATATTTTTAAGGCATGGTAGATACTTTTGACCGTGTAGGGATGGGTTGGAGTGTGGAGTAGTAAGATCACCCATGATCTTATTGAATGGTGGAGTGGACTTGAGGGGTTCCTAATTTGTACGCACGTAATGAGATGGGTTGCTTTCCTGCCCTGTGTTACATGTTAACTGAGAGGGTGAAGTATAAATTTAGACACATAGTTGGTTTATTTACAAAATGCAGCATAACATTTCACTGCTGCCTATCTACTAATGTTGCAGCAGTTTTTTTTTATACAAATTTGAGATACTTAATCAAGAAATGCACTCCATTCCAACCAGATGTCTCATTCAGAGTGGTTTGATTTGCCAGACTGTGCAGTCACCCCATAAATCTCCGGAAGAAATGTGATAAAGGTGGCCAATTCTTTTGCCAATGGTCACTTACAATATTGCCCCTGTTTCCAGCTGGTGTAATTGGCACTGACCCAGGGCGCTGAGGGGGAATGGGTGGATGGTTAGTTGATTTTATTGTTGACCGTTTATCTAAAAGAAAAGTAAGACGTTGATTAGTAGACTTCTAGACATTTTTATAGCCATAAATTATTTCTAAAAAAGCTTAACTGCTACTGAAACCCTCATTTCTGCCAATGCTCCCTCTGGACTTGACTATTCTGACACACTCCTGCTTGGCTTCCGACCTCATTGTCCACTGCACCGTCAAACCAGATTTCACACCTCTGGCGGTAGAAAGGGGTGAAATATTTGTGGGCTTGTATACCTTGTGTTTGAGTCAGAGGTGCCTCAGTTACCATAAGACTTGATTACTTCAGTGCTCTGCTGACCAGCTTGACACCCTGTACCATTCACATACAAGATACTGGTACCCAGCTCTGTTCATCTCCAATCATCATTAGTTTACATTAGTTCCCCTCCAACCCCATGTGACTTGTAAATCTAACTAAAATAAAGTAGATACAGAGTTCACATTTACATACTGGGTAAATCTCTTTTCATTGTATTTAAATAACATAAAATCAGGCATTAAAGTATTTCATCTCTGCAGGTGAATAAGGAAAGCTAATGTAATACTCATATGAAGAACTTTCAAAAGCCACAATGAAAGGTATAATTGAATGAGAGGCAAGTCCATTGTGAGACTACTCTCAGCCTTGTTTTCTATAGAAAATTGAAGCTTTGCCTTGACTGACAAGTTTCCCTTGACAGTTATTGGGACAAGTTAGGGGTTCAGTTTGAATAGAGTTTAGTCTAGCAGAAGGCTTTTAGTTTGTGATGTCTCCAAGCTACGAGAGACTATGTAGAAATTTTCAAGCCGAGAAAACGATTTATACCAGCAGTCTACAAAGCAGGACTGCAAGGAGTCATAAAACTGTTTTAGCAGTCCCAGAAGGAAAACTGAACAGACTCAGTTAATGGAGAAGATAACAAATTGAAATTGGAGTGATTTTTCTCTGGGATTTGTGTATCTAATGGTTATTGCTGTGAAACAGTTTGAAACTTTGTTTTGTTGTTTGTGTTAATATCTTTCTAAACTGTCTTTTACATGTTTTAAGTTGGTTTATTTTGCTTTTATTATTTTGTGTAATGAATCTGTGTTATTGTATTAAAGAACATTCATATCCTTGTGTGACTAACTACCAAAATAACCAACTGGAAAATTAAACTTATGATCTATCTCATCATGTATCATCTGGAACCTGACTTGTCCCAGTATTGCCATCAGTTGGAATTGCGGCACCTTATATTTGTTACAAACAGTTCCTGCTAAACACCACTTTGTCAGCTGATTTTGTGAAGTTACCTGCATAGTCTGAGTCATTGGAGATTGGTTTTGCTGCACATATCTTGATCTGATGAGCTTCTTCATCATTTGAAGGAGGTGGTTCATAATCATTGTCACTATTATGCCCTTCACCATCTTCATTTGGTGATTCATAATCTCCACCATCATCCCCAGAGTCTTGCTCTTGATCTGGGTCCTCATAGTCATCATCATCCTCTGTCTGGATTACATTACATTTACTTTTACTGTCAAACTTTTACTAAAGCATCAATGGTGATATTTCATTTGCATTTTTCAGAAACACAGTACACAGAAAGGGCAACTGAAATTACTTACAAATTCATCTGAGTCCCACCCTACGTCATCAATGGATCTGTCATCTGTAATAACAGAGGAACAATGAATAAGTGTGAAATTTTAAATCCCATTTCCTGACCTAATATCTCTGGCCAAGCGCACACATATGCACAAGAGAGATGAACAAACCATTTATTCTGAAGTTTACACCACTGAGACTCTGGAATAACATTTGCTGCTCCAAGCCTACAAACCTGGGGTGATATTTCTTCTAACTGCTCCTCCAAAAACAGCAACTTATTTAGCACATCTAACATGATAAACCATTCTGAAGTGCAACACAGAATCAGCAACAAGATGCTGAGATAAGTAAGGACCCACTGAGACTGGTGACCAAAAACTTGAAAACGCTGAGAAAAGACAATGAAACAATTGGATGTAGAAACCTTACAAGGTCAGTTTGCCCATCTCTGAATGGCAGATACCCAGACCCTTTACTGCGGTGAAGTGTCAGAGGTTGGAAAATTGTTTTATCTTCATATTCAGTGACTCATACGTTACCTCAAACTTACCTTACCGCTACACAATTTGTTAAGACACTGTTCTGGGTCATGTTAACTTCTGCCCCAAATCTACTGTTGTACCATACTACTTAAAGGAGAAATGAGTTTTAGTCCAGTTGTGGTGTCTGCTGGTGCTGAACGGTAGCAATCTGATCACAGAGGTAGGAAGTTGAAACCCACTCCGCTCTGATATTTGTTAGTTAAACTAGATTCACCACAGCTGCAAAACCACCAAGTTACAAGGGATTCCACAACTTCATCCAGTGTATACGTTAAAAAAAATCTAAACAAAGAAGACAGAAGGTGGCCATTCAGTCCATTATGTCACCGGCTTGAAAGAATTAAACACTTAGTAGCACTCCCCTGCTCTTTCCCTATGGCTTTTCATTCTTTGAATTTTAAGTATTTATCCAATTTCTTTGTGAATGTTTCTTGAGACTCTATGGCCACACTCAACACAGGCCAAATTCCAGATCACATATGTTTCACAAAGGGCCTCTCTCTTAGGCCATTAAAGTCAGTATGCAAGCTATAAAAGAGGCTGCTGATTCACTAGTGCTCATTTCCTCACTTCACTGCAGCCCACCTTCACCCTTGTTTATTCTGATCTTCAGCCAGGGAGGGTTCATGAGAACAGAAAAAATAAGAGTTGGTGTCAGCCAAATGACCTCTCAGGTCTGCTCCATTATTTGACAAGAATATGTGTGAACTATTACATTAACTTCACTTTCTTGCCATATTTTATATCCCTTAACTATCTTCATGGTCAAGTATCTTATCAATCTTTGTCCTGAATCTACCCAAAGGCTGAGCATCTACACCTTTTTGGAATGGAGAATACCAATGATTTACACCTTCCAATGCAGTTGGGCAAGTTGCTTAAAAGGCTGGCAAGTACTCCACAAACAGTTAATGTGTTGGTGGAGCAGGAAGAGAAAGGAGGGTTTCAAAACCCTGACACAGGAAGTGGTGAGACGAGTTTACAGAGAAATGTTTTGGTTCGGTAAGTTCCATATTACTCTTCAGACTCTGAGTGGAGGCAATGGGAGGGGAAAAGAGATACATCAATTACTTCTCAGTGTCACCCAGGGCTTGGACTGGGAGGAGATTGGGTAGAATTTTGTTTTATATTTCAAAAATATACTTCATTCATAAAAAAATCTTTGTATATATACATTGACGCAAAAGCAGTTTGATTCTGCACAGTTGCCTATCAAGTAAACACAAAACATTGGAGTTTACCTATACACAAAACCAAAGACCTCTCTTACACATACAATACTAATATTTATGTATATTTGACACACTAAGAGGGTCCAATAACTGAATGGACTCCCACTTACCTTCAGCAGAAAGACCTCAGACTGTGGTCTATCTCCACTGGGCCCTGTAGAATGCTGGGACATCATTAATCAGAATGCTGTTATAACTCAGGAGTTGACAGAAGTTGCAACACACACCTCTGAGTCAGAGGCAACAATCAGCTAAAATTAAAGATATAGTAAGAACTGTCGATGCTGGAGTCTGAGATAACACAGTGTGGGGCTAGAGGAACACAGCAGGCCAGGCAGCATCAGAGGAGCAGGAAAGCTGACATTTCGGCT